TATTAATATAATGTACAAATTCAGTTCCTTACTTCTAAGAATGGGATGATGCCATCCCGAGCAATGGCCTGTAACAGACGGGGGGCGCCAGTCAAGCTCTGCAGTCCAGCCCCACAGCAAGAGAAAAACGAACCAATCACAATAACCAGAGGTGAGGGCCAGGCCAGAATACCAATGACTGGATTATTAACAGAGTAGCCAAACCTGAAATATGTACAGCCAACAAGACATATCATTTACTGAGTGTGCAAGATCTTTAAGTTATTCTTCAAGACAGTTTGGCTATCGAAACAAAAAAAAATTTAGTCTAAGCTTCGTTTTAATAATATCAGCAAAGGCATTTTAACAATAAATGACATGTTACTTAGATATTTTCTTACTTGTCTCTCAGCACCACTCCTTCAATACAGGCTCCAAACAAAACCACAAAGGAGATATCTTACCTTGGAATTAAGGTACAAATATGTGATTGTACAGATAAGTGATTGGTCACAATTATAATCCTCATAAAGAAACTAGTGTATATCTTCCTCTACATCAATAATACCCTCACCGTCCAACACACAAACACACAAGTTTGTTTTCTATCCCTGTGGGGACCTTGCATTGACTTCCATTCGTTTTCCAGTCATTTCTACAGCCTGACCCTAAACCTAACCCTCTACTGTACCTGACCCTAAATCTAGCCTAAACTCAGTTCACACCTTGATCATAAACCTAACCCCCCCACCCAAAATCAGCATCCGAAACCATGGTGACCAGGCTTTTGTCCCTGTGAGAAGCACTGGGTCTCCACAAGGCTGTGTTTTTCTGCAAAACTGTCCTCATGATGTAGCAAAAATGTGTCCACCCCCCCCCCCCCCCACACACACACACACACACACTCAAAAAGACAATCTGGACCAGGAGGATACAAATGAAGGATGTGGTGAGAATAGCCAGTATGGTTCCTATTGGGATGGATCTCTGGGCGTCTCTTAGATCACCAGACCTGTTAGAACCGGCCATAATACCTACAATAAAAGACACACATTTAGATTTTTACTTCAATAAAAGTTGACTTCTTTTTAACGTTTAGTGCTGAGATTATTTTTTTAAAGATCATTGATGAGTTACCCGTGACAGAAGGGAAGTAAATCCCCACCAACAATGTGAAAAAAGAGGTAATGTCATTGAGGACGTAGTTGAAGTCTTTGTCGCTGRATGGGACCGAAGCAGGTACTGAAGGCTGATTATTCTCTATGGGCCTCCCAGCTTGACCGTAGCTGCTCCACAGGTTTTCTGAGAGGAAGACATAATAAAAGCACCATCAGATGCAATCAAGTGATGATGAATTGAAATTGTTTCCCCTCTCAGCGAGTTGACAAATATCCTTGGCCCGCTTGCTCTTTGTTGTTCCTCCACTGTCAGGAATCTTGGAGWGATTTTAGCTTTTTTTTCTTATATTTTCAGGTGCATTGACAGTTGTCAAATCCAATTTGCATTGGTTATGCCACAGTGTCAAAGCAAAATCTTACATTCCTCCAAAAGACCCCTAAACCTCTTAAATTGGCCGGTTCAGAGGGGATTCTGGAACAACCCGACCATTTATTTTAATACTGCAGAGTCTAAGTCCCACTTTAAAACTCAAGTGTTACACTGGTTTTTAATTCAAGTTCAGCTCTTTAATGTGTTGTTTCCTTGATTTCATTTGTTTCTAACCTATTTTTTATTGGCTTTTATGTCAGATTTTTCTGAATTTCTTTTATTGTTGGCTTTTCTTGTTTGTTTTTAACCAGCTCGTAAAGCACTTTTTGTTCTTAAAAGTGATATACACTGTTAATAAAATTAACATTCACTGTCTGGAAAAAAAAAACAATATAAAAATGTTGATTGTTTTCTTAAAGAGTTAATCCTTCCCACCTTTAATGACTCCGCTCAGGAGCCCAGGTACGGCCGGAATTTCTGTCACRTTATTCAAAATGAAGTAGTCGTCGCACGTCGCGTTGGGACAGAACAGTCCCCACAGATCGGTGGTGTCGGAGTTGTTATTTATTACTTCCGTCTTTGCGCATGTTTCGAATTTTTCAACCCTCAAAGAGCGATTCCCCAACAAGCAGACTCTGCAAAGCAAAACGTCAGCGCATGTTTCAGTCTGGGGAATGACCTGCAGGCTTTCCAGGTGACATAAAGTGAAACATTTTAAGCACAAATAAAATAATTTTGGGGATCATTACTTGTCTGTTTGCCACTCACTTAAATTCCGATGGCCCAATAACAGTATGGATGACTCCTGCGTATGTGGCCATGATGGAGAGAATCACACAGGAGAGAAACACTAAAGCTAATTTGTTCACGTATCTGCAAAACAAAACATATAAAAGGTAAACCTGTGTGCTTGATGAACTGTTTATATACTGTATGTGCATTTCTGTGCAGGTACTCACTTTACCCCGACAAACACCACTAGCGCCATCAGGAGCAGGCAGCACGTCCCTAACACTCGCATGTTGTTGAGTGTCCCGTTGCTGTCGTTTTTGAAAATAGCTGCGTTTGGAACAATGTACGTCTGGAAGAGGACAGAAAGTTAAAAAAATTAATAAAATAAATTGAGTGGATCAGCTAATAGGACAACAGGACTGATAAGGCTAACAAAAAAGGAAATGTACCAGCAGGATCTCTATGGTGCCCAGGATGTACAGGGATCCAGCAAAGGTGGTACCCAGGTACAAACAAATACCCACCGCTCCGCCAAACTCTGGACCCAATGATCTGGAGATCATGTAATAAGAGCCACCAGCTGTAAATATAGAGAAGCCCAGTTAGATTTCTTCTAAACTAAACATTTTTTTCTTCCAWACTCTTACACCGTACCTGGTACAACTCCATTGGTTGCTATGGCACTCATGGATATGGCTGTAAGTAAAGTCTGCATGGAGGAAAAGAGGGCAGAAGTTAACAACGGGGTAAATAACATTTCTAATAACCTCAAATTCTGACATTGCTTTCATACATTGGAAAACAACAAACAATTTAATTATTACTATTAAAAGAAAGTATTTCAAATATGTTACATTTAATCTTTTTCTTTTTATTTTTTTCTGTCCAAGTCACTGAGGAGCTGGTGCTTATGTAGCCCCAGAAACCACAGTGTGAGAGGCAGGATCACTTCAGAAACAATCACTTTCTCACTCAAAACTAGGGACAATTTAGAGTTACCATTGATTTGCATGTTTTAGGTCTGTGGGAGTAAACTAGCCTGGTTAAAACCAGACCCCGTCCTTCACTTTGCTTCGTACAAGGGTCTGGAGTTGTTGCATAGAGAATCGATTCTTGCAGGAGGCGTGGCCTCTGCTGAAGTATGTGTGTTGTCGCTGTGAAGGAGGCTAAGCTAAGAAGCTAACCAGAAATCGCGTGTGCTGTAAACAACCCTACTGAGAGGAGAAATATACAGAGCCGAACGAGACGACTGTAAATGAGAGCTGCTGCTTTGTGAGACAAATTTAATTTAATTTGGAAGCCTTATCAACACGGACTGGCTTCATTCACTTCCTCCACTGCCGTATGCTAAAATAACTAGCAGACACTGCACAGAACATGGACGTCATTCAAAACTCCGCCTTCTGTTTGCTGATTGGCCCAGGTAAAATAAACTACAAGCAGACACTGCGCAGAAAATTGACGTTCTGTTCTCTGATTGGCCCAGGTAAAATAAACTACAAGCAGACACTGCGCAGAAAATTGACGTTCTGTTCTCTGATTGGTCCAGACAAAAATCTGCCAGCGAAATCCTTGTCTATGGKAGAAATCCCAGATGGAGCAGTGAAGGGAACTAGAATTGAGCGGAGCTGCGTAGGAAGGCAAGGGCCAGGCTAGGAGTAAACCAGAATACCAGGAAAAAAATATCATCCAGCAAAGCCTAGAAGAGCACCTGTGACCTTCTCACTGTGAGGCGACAGCTCTAAGCACTGTGTCACCAAGTCACCATGGACAGGTTGCAAGTCCATCACAGGGACACAGACACAAGACAAAATTAGACTTACTAATTACCAGTAGTCAAATTTATTATGACCTATCATTTTAAATTTGGAGGCATTTCAGCTGTTCCTGTATTTTTTTGTCAAAAAAACAGTCTCTTTGGATAATTTTTATATCTGTAAAGCATCTACAGCACAATTTCCTGGCGAAATTAGTATATTTATGACATCATGCATGTGACTGTGATTTGTTTCAATATCACTCTACTTAAATACGACTATAGAACAGATCTGTTTGTTTGTTTTCCATCAACAAAACAAAACAATTACAATTTTCTTTGAAATGACCATTTCAAAATCACTTCACGTATAGTAAATACTAGAACATCTTAAACAGCTGCATGCAGTGGTCTTAAATGCTACCTCTATGTGGAATCTAGTTTTAAGAAATAATTTAATATAATAATTTAAAAAATACATTTTTACCACAAATTTTCATTATAAAATAAACAATAACTGGTAAACTGCAACAAGGACAGAAGTGAACTGGTTAGTGGGACACCTTAAAGTATAAAATAATAAAAATAAAAATTTAGAAATACAGTATGACAAATAAATCTGTTACAGCTTTTCTTTTTTAAGTTCCACAAACTATCATATATCCTAATAAAATGCTTGTTCTGAATGGGTTACTACACCCACAGTATATTTCAAATATCACAAGAGATGCAATTTACGACTTGAAGAGGGTCGGATCTTATGCATTTGTTTGTTTTAAAGAGTCATTCAAAATTAAACGGTTTGTTATATCCTTAGGATATGAGAGGATTTTTGTAACTTGTCACAAAAATAAAAAGCATTTCATTTCAATGTGGTTCACATTATATTTAAATTTTATTCAGATTTTATCAATAGTCACTTCTCTGTTCGGCCTTCTGAAGCTGCTGACGTGAGGTTTTAAATAAAACACATTTCAACTTATTTTAAAGACCTTCTTCCAAACAAGTTATACTTCAGATTTTTTATTGTCCTTAAATTTCCTTGTTAAACCATAAATGTCACTGTGTAAAGGAAAAGAGTCAGGGGAGGTTGCGGCTCAGTAGTTCTTTCCCCAAAACACGCAGCTTTAAGATTTTGTAAATCAGGGTGTGTGTGTGTGTGTGTGTGTGTGTGTGTGTGTGTGTGTGTTACTCACACAAACGCAACACATGAAGACGATGGCGAAGGACTCCAGGATCCCCGCAGTGCCAACGATCCAGGTTAGCCGCAGAAATAGAATCACACCCAGGATGTTCTGCATGCACGGCAGATAAACTCCGATGAACGTTCCCATCTGGGGGACCTGGAGATGCAAAAAATGATAAATAATAAATTCATCAATTAATAGCATTCAAAATTAGCTATATATATATATAT